CACTGTCTCATCCTGGGGTGTGCTGCTTGCCCCTTCCTCATTAGGAGTATATCCTTTCTGGATCATGGGGATAGCAAGCATAGAGTCAACACCTGAGTTCTCTCTCTCCTCCAGAGACTTCTTGGATTCCTCAATGAGCTCCTTCACAGCCTGGGACAACACCCCATCCTCCAAAGCCTCTGTGGATGGCACAGACGTCTGGGCCAAGGCCTGCCTTTGAAAGCCATTCTGGATCAATGGGATGACCAGTTCCTTAGGGGCTTCTACAGGCTTCACACTCTGCAGCTCCTTTCCTTCCACGATCTTCAAGAAATCTTTTTCTTCTGGGGCCGACCCCATGCCGTCCCCTGTAGCCGCCAGTCGCCTCCGGACAGAGGTGCGAGTGAACCCGAATGAAATTGGGGCTGCGGAAGGGGCAGCAGGCTCCGCAACCTCCTCTTCGGCATCCGCCATCTTGCTCCCTGTCTTTGTGATATTTAATGTATGGATCTGATTTATTTCACTTAACATTATGAACCATTCACCTACAAATGCTTGAAGGGTATCTTTCTTTGAGTATTCCACTGTCTATATATGTCACATTTTCTTTTTCCATTCATTGGTTGACAGGCATGTCGGCAGCTTCTAAGATGTTGCTATTATGAATTATGCTGCTGTAAGCAGGGGTGTATATATATCAGTGTAGTATGTTGTGTATTTCAAGAAGACAGAAGTATAGCTGGGTGAAATGAATATTCTATTTTTAGTTGGGTTTTTTTTTTTTTTTTTAATGTATTTGGTTGTTATAGGGTCTCACAATGCAGCTCAGGCTCATGGTAATCCTGTTTTCAGCCTCGCCTGCCCAGCACTGGGATTACAGGCATAGGCCACTATACCCAGACTCTGTGGCTGGCTCAGCCCACCCTCGGGGCAGGGCTGGCACAGTGGTGCCAGAGATCAAACTGCAGTCCCTGAGCTTGCCTAAGCAGATGCTTAGTCCACTGAGTTATCTCACCAGCTCCCTTTTTTGAGTTCTTGATGATAACCATTTTTTTCTGGGGTAAGATGGAATGTCACATTTGTTTTTGTATTTCTGTAATGGCCAAAAAAGCTTGGGGTTCTTTGTGTTCAGAAAGTCCTTGTCTTATACCTGTCTCTTCAACAGTTTATCCTGATTTATCTTCTAGTAGATTCAGTGTTTCTATTTTTATATCTAGGTCTTTCATTTAGATTTGATTTTAGTACAGGGTTAGAGATAGGTCTAGATTGATTATTCTGCATGTGGATAACCAGATTTCCTACCACTGTTTGTTAAAGAGGGTATCTTTTCTCCAGTGTATCAAATATTAGGTGGTTAAAGGTACATGAGTTTGTTTCTGCATCCTCACTTCTGTTCCATTGATCAACATGTATGTCTTGTGCCAGTATTATGCTTTGCTCTTCTTACTCAGTATTGTTTTGGAAGTTCTGGGTTGCTTTTGAGTCCATATAAATTTTAAGATTGCTTTTTCTAATTCTGTGAAGAATGTTGATATTTTCATTAGGATTGCATTAAATCTGTATATCAGTTTTGGTAATATGGTTAGTTTAACAATATTGTTTCTGCTTATCCTGGAACAGGATAGGTGTTTCTATATTCTGATGTCCTCTTTGATCGCTTGTCACTTGGTTAATACCTAGGTCTTTTTTTTTTAATTTAAAAAAAACCTTGTGAATGATATTGGTCTTTTGATTTCTTTCTCACTGTGTTCATTGTTAGTATACAGGAATGTTGTTGATTTTTGTGTGTTGATTTTGTATCCTGCTACTTTGTTGAATATTAGTTTCAGGAATCCTTGTGGTGCTTTTCAGCAATAAAGATATGTGTATCTACAGATGTATCCTTTTTCTTTCTTTCTTGATTGATTGTTCTAGCTAAAGTTTTAAGTACTGTTTTGAATAGGAGTGGTAACAGTGGACATCCTTGTTCTTGATTTCAGGTTTCCCCTCAGTTAATATGATATTGGCAATGGGTTTGTCATAATGGCTTTTCTCAATTTGAGATTTTTTTTGGGGGGGGTGGGGGTCATAAATTGGATGTCATTAAAGTCTTTTCCTGTGCTTATTGAGATGATCATGTTATTTTTGTCTGCTTCTGTTTATGTGATGCATTCCAATATTGATTTTTATGTGTTGAACCATCCTTGTATCCCTGGAATGGAGCCAAGTTGATCATGATGTGGTGTGATATTTGAATTTTAAAAATTTTTACTGAAAACAAATAAGGATTTTTATTTGCTGTACATTCCGCTCTTCCTGTGATACTTCGCTTTGGATAGTCTATTCCCCTGGGATTGACTACCTCAAACATGACCCTGGATAAGGGACAAAGCGAGTAGTCCCTCAGCTGTGAAAGGACACAGGAATTGTCAAGGCTGAGAGTAAAATAAGGTGCTCAGATGTGTACTGCCTACCGCTTTAGTGCTGCTCAGTGTTGCTGATTTGGCAGTGATCTGTTCAGCTTTGAAACACAAAGAAGGGGAAGCGGAGCTCTGGCATTGCAAGTAGCAGGGGAGAATGCTAAGGCAGAAGAGTGTCTTCACGTGGTGCTAACACAGCCACCTCAGTCAACACAGTTTCTGTGACCCACACAGAGCTTCCTTCAGATTCTTTCAACACATGCCCCACAGTGTCACGGTAGAGGGTTTGATTACTCTGTACCAGAGTAGGAAACCTTCGCTTTAGTTCTTAGTTTAAGAATATACACAGGGCCGGGGAAATGGCTCAGTAGAATAAGTGCTTGACTGGCAATTGCAAGGATCTGAGTTCAATCCCTGGTTCTGCAAAAAAAAAAAAAAACAGGTTTTTTTTTTACTTCCTAGTGTGAGCTCAGACACTGTACTTCAAAAGAAACACCCAGAAGCACTTTGTTTGAGACAAAGTCAGGGGCCACTGATTTAGCTCAGCTTCTCATACTACCACACTAATCAAATCTAGAGCTGTTTCCTTTCTTCCAGAAGAAAAACAAAAACCAAAAAAGCAAAATGAATCATGGCTCAGAGCCTCCTTGAGTGCTGACTAGGAGTGGCTGCTTGGTTTCCTTCTTCTGTAACTTGGGTAAATCAAATAAACCTCTGAGATTCATTCTATTTACATTCCTAGAACAAAAAAATATATATATTTGAGAAATTATTATTCATTATTGACACTGTACTCACTGAAAAAGAAAAGTTTGCTCCATAACTCCCTATTGAAAACTAACATTAAGGGGGACCCTAAATACAAATCAGGTGGCCAGCATAGTAATGGGGATCTTAGTGACTTAAATTGAATCTAGTAGGGAAGTATCTTAGGTAGAGACAGCTAGCATCTGTGACAGTCAAAGCTAGTAGGAATGACTCAGTGTTCTTCATCAGAGAAAAGGCTGACATCCAGAATGCAGTAGCCATTTTCTGTAAGAAGCTTTCTTTGTTCCTAAGGAGATGTTGCACCTGTCCTTTTTAGGGGTGGTGGTGGTTCTGGGGATAGAACCCAGGACTTTTGCATACCAGTGCAAGAACCTTTTTTTTGGTGGAACTGGGGATTGAACTCTTGCACTTGCCAGGGAAGTGCTATTCTACTGAGCTATTTCCCGGGCTCCTAAGAATTCTTATCACTGAACCACATTTTTAGCCCTGTTTCAGACTTCATTTCTTTTAACTTTGAAAATAGTTTTTCAAAAATTTCAAAATCTCCTTCTCCAGTACTAAGACTGGTTAATTCTTGAATATCTAGATCATCTAACATGAATGTGCAATGCTATCAGCCTGGGGATCTGCTGTATTAGATGCATCACCCTGATGGTCTGGGAGAGATTCAGTCCTGCCTTCTGCTGGCAAAGGGGATGCCCTGAGTGACAGTTGCTGTTTATCCAGTGCTATGGTTTATTCCAGCCAATGAATTGAGAAAGCTACAGCCTTGATTTCTATTATCCCTCATCACTGTGTTGGACAAGACATTGGAGTTCGAGGCTTGTACAATTTTTTTTACTCCTATAGATTCAGGAAATCATTGTCCTCCCCGAGCTACTGCTGGGTTCCAAGCTTGACCAATTCAAAGCCACTTTTGATGTACCATTTTTGAGCTTTTTGTTGGTTTACTCCCATCTTCACATACTCTTACCACAGACCAACATTATCACTTCTGGTACCCTTGCTTCTGCCAATGGAAAGCATGAGGAGACACTGTTGAGTTCTGACATTTGTGAGCTGTCAAAGTATACTACAAATGCCTAGATGGACTGCAGTCTCTGTAGTGACAGGGAGTTTCATTGGCACCACACATAGATTGATATCTGCTGAGTAGTATGTATGTATGTATGTATGTATGTATGTATGTCTTTATGTATGCATTTTTTGTTTTTTTGAGTCAGGGTCCTCACATGCATTTCAGGCTGGCCTTGAAATTGAAGTTATCCTCCTGCCTCAGCCCCCCAAGTGCTGGGATTACAGGTATGGGCCACCATTCCCAGCCTGAATAGTATTTATTATCAGTGGCCCAGGAGTAAAATCTTACAGCATTATTGGAAGTGATTTCCATAAGGTGATCATCTATTCTCAGGAACAGGGATGTTGAAATCTAGATGTTGAACTAGCCAGTCTCTAGCAAAGGTTGAACAGCTGCTGGTGACAACCAGCATGCAGCAGAATGTATAATGTTTGGTGATAGCTGGTGCTGCTGTCCATCAACCCTCCCCCACCCCGTCCTCTTCATTCTCAGCTGCCAGTATCTTGTTGAAGATTTTTGCATTTATGTTCATTAAGGAGATTGGCCAGTAGTTTTCTTTTAGACCTTATTTTTACTGGATGTTCTTAGTTAGGCTGTTTATCTCCCAAGTAAATACATTTTATTTTATTTATTTATTTTTTTTGTGAAACTGGGGATTGAACTCAGGCCCTTGTGCTTGCCAGGGAAGCGCTTACTCTACTGAGCCATCACCGTGGCCCAGTAAATACATTTTTTTTTCCAAAATTTTATTGATAAACAGCAATGAGACAGTTTCAAATCAAATCGGAAGTACAATTTCAACAAATAATACACTGCATATATTCTTCTTAGTGGTTAATTGCTGTACAAGATGCAGACTTGAGATCCTATTTACAAACACCATTAGAAATCATTCTATTCATTAAGAGAATGCAACTATATATCTATCCTAACCACTTTGAATACACAGATACAAAATGGACATTCATCGGTATACCCCATTTTTTCTAAGTTCTGTTATTGAAAATTATAGGTGTGTAAACTCAGCAAAATATTCTAAAAGAGTCCAGTAGCCCATAATAGCATTGGGTCTTCTGTTTAACTGGCAGTGTCAGAAATTATTGACCTGAGTCCCCCACAGCTCAACATAACAACATGGCTTTACTTCCTATATTTCGTCTTCATACTTTTCTACTGGATGGTTAAGACCAAGGTAAAGCAGGACCTGTGCAACAAGGTCAGTGAAGGTGACC